CTTGGCAATCTTGAGACTTGTGGACTTCACCTCCCAGAATTTCCTTTGCTGGATAATAAATTCTGGGAGTTGAAGTCCACAAGTCTCAAAGTTGCCAAGTTTGGAGATCCCTGCTGTATAGCAATGTATTTTAAAAAGGACCTGTTAATTTTAAAAAGGACCCGTTTGCTAAAGTGCTTATGTGTTATTCTTTAACATTCCTTATTTTGTTACTTAACGTTGAGAACTTTTGATGAAGGGCTCAGTGGTGGGATTCAATTTTTTTTTACTACCCATCCTGTGGGTGTGGCTTGGTGGGCATGGCAGGGGAAGGATACTGTAAAATCTCCAGTCAGAGGTGGTATTTGCCAGTTCTCCAAACTACTAAAAATTTCTGCTACCGGTTCTCCAGAACTGATCAGAACTTGCTGAACACCACTTCTGAAAGTCTTGACCATTGTTGAAGCAATGGAAAGTATTTTAAAACTCTGGACATTTTCTTCAAACCAATAAAACAGCTCTCTCTCATTGTCTTTTGACAATCAAATATTGCTGATTTTTACCTTGCCTTATCTCAAGCAATGAAAATTCTTTGTTCTAAATCAACGGGGGTGGGCTGTATGCAAAATGAAGCTAATAAAAAAAAACTCCCAAGTATATACTATTTATAACCTTTAACCTAGTTCTGCTTGGTCATGTCCTAGTTCCTGTGTCCAAAATATGCTATGAAAAAAAATGTTTAAAGAAAAAATGTTTAAAGTACTAAAAGGTCGAGATTATTTAGCTTCATAGTGCATCAAGCCACTTCTTCATCATCTTCCATTCCTCACTGCCTGTATAATTTGGCTGGATATGTGAAAAGACATTTGCAATATTCACATTAAATATGAGCTAATTGGGGGAGGCAAAATGACATAGTAGTAAGAAATTGCACACACACTAAACAAATTCATTACTTCAGCACACTGAGTAGTTAGAGTAGATCATTTTCCAGTTGAGTAGATAAGTAGGGGCAGAAAGCCAACCCGAACCACTTACAATCTGATAATATAACTGGCCAAACCTCAAGCAACAGCCTACATTTTTGTATAAATATACAAAGCAATCTTAAAAGATTAGATAAATTATACACAGAATAAACAGTGAAGATTCCTTCCAGAATTTACTGGGTAAAGGCATGAGTAGGTAACTTATAATTAGTAGGCCAGCAGGCCAATGCATCTACTGGCGTTCTTGGACCATATTTTGGGGTGTATGTTTGTGTGTGTGTGTTGTGTGTGTGTGTGTGTTGTCATTCTTTTTTGCTGTATCAACAAAAGGTTCAATACATTTAAGGCATGAATAGATTTTTTAAAAATGGCTTATAAAATATAAGAGAATTGCATACAAGTGTAGTGTTTTTCCTGTGTCTTTTTCTATTAAATGTATTTAATAGCATTTAATAGCATTAAAAAGCATTTAATTTTTTGGTCCTTAGCTTTGCTTAACCCTATAATTACTGTAGATATAGTGCCAACCTTTAGATATGAATAGTGCAACAGTTCTTAATAAACTTAAGTATAAATGATCTTTCATCTTCATCAAGATGTTCAATATTATGATCTGGGACAAAGATAGAAATAAAATAGTAGTTAAAATATATTGTCAGGTTTCTGGCAATTGCCCTAAAGTATTCCTATGCCTGTTTTTGAGTTGCCATATATCTTATCAGTTATTTTATTCAGTAAACTATAAGCGGATGATCGCCATAATATAATCATATCTGAGTCATTATAATCCATTTTAATACATTGAATACAAATATTTATTTGTCAGTAAAAAATTAAAAGAGATTTTTTTTTGGGGGGGGAAATCCAAAATTCTTTTCATGCATATGATCTCCTATTGTTAAAGTCCCTGGTGTCAGAAATTGTGTTGCTCTATTACAAATAAACTGAAATATATCAAGACATAAATCCATCTTCAGCTTTATAGACTAGTCAAATAGAAAGATATATACATGGAAACAACAGGATTATAAATTAACTGCAATCATGAGCCATTGGGAATATTTGGGTATCAAAAAAACATTCATTTTTATAGCATCCTCAAGCAGTCTATGATTGTTGCATGAATCACCCAGGTCTAGGATCTGAGCAGACTTCTATTTTGTAGAATCTACTATATTTTGTTATTATTGTTAGCAGAAGCTAGATGCACTGTCCATTTTCATTACATTTAAATTCAATATTAAAAAACATAGGTCTACTGTATATAATGCATCAAATATATCAATCACTTTATTGAACTAATGCTATGCAATTTAATTAGGAAATTTAATTTAGGAAATTGTTTTAACTATCCATTATGGAGTTCACGCCATTTCCATAAAAAAAGAACCACATGTTGTCTTCATTTCAACTGTTATCATTTAGGGCAAACTGAGAGTTGTATTGTCAAAAGATTGTATACTAGTTTGAGGATTTGGTAGACATTACACACAGATTTACAAACAGCAGTAGAAAACTTTAAATTTAGAAGTAATCTACATGAGAGACAGAGGATCTGTATATTTCATCATACCACTTTTATGAGCTTCCAAGATGCATCTGATATGCTGTTGTTGGCCACATAATGGTAGCCTAAAAGAAGAATCTTGATTTGGTCCAAGGAACCACTTACCACATTCTTATATATTTTTAAAATAACCTATGATCAGAGTTCACGAACACTAGGGGGCTAAATATACTTTTAAGAGATTTGAGCCATTCATTCCACATATCACTTCTATGAAATAAATATTTTTTCCTTTTGAAGATCAAAATAACTAGATCTTTATCTTTTCACTTTGTTTGTACTTGTGATACATTTTGACAATCCAAATTATGCACTCAATTGTACTTGTGATACGTTTTGACAATTCAAATTATGCACTCTTTTGGAACTGCATCTTAGGTAAATGTTACACAATTCTTTTAAAACAATCAGAAAGTTTTAGTGCTTTAAATTATCTGTTTGGCTTGTAGGATATTTATAGTGTCTCATTCTGTTTTATCACTTCATTTAATAATTAACATTTTATAATATCAGCCATATTTCATCATGCTGTGAACTGAAGTTGTCAAATTATTTTGTTTACCTTTTTTGTATCCATTTTCTCATTTGCTTCAAATAATAATTACAAATGATATTGATCTGGGAAATATAAACAGGGCCAATCTGAATATCTAACCTATTTGCTCACTGAAGATCCGTCATGCTGGGTTTCATGTTACATCTTTCACAATTAGTCATATGAACCATCTGGTATTGAATATAATTGCACAATAGTAGAATGTTTATACCGTCTTATGTTAGTTGTAACATTTTATACTGTTAAAACAATTGCCATCACTTCAAGGTAACAAGCCAGGAAATGTAGTTCTCAAGAATAGGTGGAATACTATTAATATAGACTATAGTCTAGTGGTTAGGGCACCAGCTAGAAACTGTCAGCTCTACCCCTTAGCCATGAAGGCCAACTGAGCAACTTTCGGGCAGTCAATCCCAACATACCTCACAGTAATGCTGTTGTGGAAAAAAGGAGGAAAGAGTATTAGATATGTTTATCACACTGAGTTATTTATGAAAACAGTAAATATGATAATAAATAAAATAAAGAAATAAATAACAACAGACACTTGGAAGCCTGAGTTTCCCAGCCCTATTCAAAGGTCACATCTGTAGCAATCAATATGAAATATGTTACATCTGCATATTCTTGTTTCTAAGAGGACAAAAATATCAAATACTTTCATTACAGATATATACCATAGCTAGCATAGATAACAATAAATAGTAAAAAAAAATCAAAATATGTTTAATTAGATAGAGCATGGCAGAAAAGCTATGGGGACCTTTCTTCCTATTCGTTGGCAATCCCTCATTCTAACTTTGAAGAGGGAAAAGCAATTAATCCAATGATACCCACTAAAGTATGGTACGGATAATTATTTTTATCTTAAATCAAGTTTACTAAGTTCATAACTCATAACAAACCCAAAGTAATAGGATAGCATTCTAGCTTCCCAGGACACTCAATACAGATTTCAAGGTTGGTATTTTAGAATAAGGAAAACACACCAGCTTTGTGGAGTGCAAGACTGCTAGACTCACATATTGCAAAAAGGATTCTGGTTATCTTAGAAGGCTTTAACACAAACAACATTTTAGCCTATTACAATTTGTAATTGAAGAAATCTCTTATGCAATCTACTTCTAAGTTGCCACTCTTTCTCTTCTGAGCTTGCTCATTTTCTAGCAGACGTTTCATTACCCTAACTAGGTAATATCATCAGTGATCATACCTAGTTAGGGTAATGAAATATCTGTCAGAAAACCAGCAACTCAGAGAGCAACCCTGAGCTATAAATATTATCCTTTATTGGTACTCTTTCTCCTGCGAGGTGCGCTAATCAAGAAAAATGGTGATTTTTATATCAACTTCTAGTCCTTTGAAAAGCCTCTGAGTTGTTCTTGTGGATTATTAGGAATGAACTCATCACAATAACATTTCGAAAGAGTCACGTGATAAAAAAAATCCCTCTCCACTTTGGAAATGAAGGAAGAACTGGAAAACCAGCTCAACTCTTTCGATTACTTCACTTCACTTGGTCAATGCAAATGTGGGAATGAAGCGGCTCAATAAAAAGCGACAGTTCCACCCACAAAGCAGCATCAGCACCCAAAGACTCAACGGGAAGAGGGTGGAAGAAACAGAGGCAGAGAGAGAGAGAGAGAGAGAGAGGACGGGGGTGTGTGTGAGGAAGAGAAAGAGGCGAGCAAAACGGCGTGAAGCCTCGCCGCCTTTCTTCTCGCCCTCCCCTCTGTCGTGCCGTGACGCAAGCTGTCGGGTAACCCGAAACTGCACATTGGCAGGGCGAGGGTGCGCGCGCGCGCGCAGACCCTGACTCACCCAAATCTTCGCTTCTTCCTCGACTTCTACCCCCCCTCCCCCGCTTTCAATCTTTAAGGCTTCCCTTTTTCAGAACTCTGAGCCATCCTCCCCTCCCCTCCCCCACCCACCCACTCACCCACCCTCGGCATCTCCTTCCCAGTCCCTGGAGTTGGTATGACAGGAACTCATTATGCTGCTTTCCCGACTTTCCCGGGAAGGCAGATAAGCAGGAGGCGGAGGACTTGACAAGGGGAAAAGGCGGTGGCGCGCTCGCGCTTCGCCGAAGCCTGGCCCGCCCTCCATTTCTTTCCAGTCTGACTTTGTCCGACGGATTCCGGGCTGGTTTTTGCTAACCCTTCCCGCCAGCCTGCTTTCCCAGCAGCCATGAACCGCGTGGGGAAGAAAAACGAGGAGACTCTCATCGAGATGGGGCAGACCCACGATGGTGAGTAGGCCAAGAGGAGGGTGGGAGATTTCGTTGTCCCCTCATTTGCAAGAGGATTTCCCAAGGAAGAAAGAAAGTCCCGTCTTTTCATTTCGCCGAGGCGGCGGTTTGGCCAGATCTGGGGAATCTCCCCTGCTGTTTCAACCCCCGCCGTTTCCCTCTTCCGATGTTGAAGGTTTTGGGGCCTTCTGCTTTCGGATATAACGGTGCTAAATCAACCGGCCGGATCCGGGTTGGGTAGGGCGATGGCTTAGCTCGGTCCCGGCCTGATCGTCGGGTTCGAGTGGTAGCCGTGAACGTCAGAAGTTTGCTTTTTTTTTTTTTTAATTAAAATAAATGGTTTGCTTTAGGCGTGATTTTTCCAGTTGTCTGCCGTGGTGGTGGGGAGAGAAGATCGGTGAAGTTGAGGTTCTGGAGTCAATAAGAAGAAAATTGTGGATTTCCAGGAGGCCATAGCAGGAGGGCACCGCCCTCCTTAAAATGTTGGCATTTCATTACCCCCCCCCCCCCAAAAAAAGCCGCTTCAGATGATCACTCCTGCATTCATTGTTCCACAAGATTGCACGAATACACGTGCAAACAGGGTGTTGAAGGACAGGCAGCGCTGCATACCTATTTACTAGAAATAACCGGTAGGGAAGTAGGTCTAGACTAGAGAGAGAATACGATGGGCACTGGGTGATTTTAGAGTAGTAACAAAACAGTTAAGGGTTAATAAGCACATTTAACCACAATTCTCCAAGAAAGAGAGAAAAAAAATTGTCCAAGAAAAAAAAATTGTCCCAAAGGTGCATTTTCAGGAGGCACCTGGACTTCCTTGTTTTTCTTTCAAGATGTTTTGCTTCTCATCCAAGAAGCTTCTTCAGCTTCTTGGATGAGAAGCAAAATATCTTGAAAGAAAAACAAGGAAGTCCAGTTGCCTCCTGAAAAAGCACCTTTGGGACAACCACGACCTGTTTAAGAAAAAAAAAAGGTTTGTGAGGTTTTTTTTAATTGTTTTTGAGACAGAAAGATATACCTCCTATGTGGACTTTATTTGGGCCTGGGGTTTGTTCAGTCCCTTTTAAATGAAAAGCATTAAAACGCATGAGAGGTGTGCTATCATAAGAGAGGAAGTAACAAAATGATGGGGAAAAAGAACCTCTTAATAGAATTAGGAAGCAAGCTTTGTCTTTCTTCCCAGGACTGCTTGAAGTGCCATTTCACCTGATGGCATCAGAAGTTACTTTAGACTTTCAGCTTGATGGCCCTGTGTTCCTCTTTTGATATTAACGTTTTATTTTTGTTGTGATCTTTCTGCTCACTTTGTCCTATTTGTCTTCTATGATGTTCTCATTGGAGAAAGATAAAGCAAGATGGAGTGATTATTTGGTTAGGCTTGGACTACAGTGTCAGCTATATGGTACTCCTTTTCCTAGAAAACATTAATTGCAGATATACAGATTATTGAACTTTTTGAAAGTGTCCAAGAAGCACACTGAGTGTTTCAATCATAAGTCCAAGAACTGCAATTGGACGGTCTAGTAATGCCTTTTCAGAATTTAATTGACTTACTGTGGTATCTTTTTGCACTCGGCAGTTAGGTTGTACATTTTACAAACAATGAAGTAGGTATTAAGACATTGTATTTTCAGGTACTACAGAAGTTTATTTATTTACTTAGAAAAATTATTTGCCACCTATCCCAGGTAGGGGAGGTGGGGGTTGAACTTTAATTAATCAATCACCTCTAGTATGAAGCTCCCCCATTGGGTCCCCAAACCATCTTGCAGAGTCAGGGCCTAAGGCTTTTTCAAACATCAAGAGGGTGGGAGCTAATCTCAGTTCAGGGGGTAAGATGTTCCAGAGGACAGGAGCCACAGCAGAGAAGGCTCTTCTCTTGGATCCCATCAGCCAAAATTCCTTGACTGACAGGATCCACCATATGCCCCTCTGTCAGCACAGATGGGATGAGCCAATTGCATCAGGTGAGATGGTTCCTCGAGTAGCTTGGACCCATGCCACGCAGGGCTTTAAAGGTGATAACCAATTGTACCTGGAAGCAAACCAATGTGACTCCTGAAGCAGTGGTATAATATGGGCCACTCTAGAACTTCTCACGCCACTGCACTCTGTGTCAAATCCTTTTGAAGGTAGCCCCATGCAGACCACATTGCAATAGTCGAAACATGAAATGATTAGGGTTTGAGTACCTGCGTGCAGTGACCCTTAGTCCAGGAAAGGCCCCAACTAACACACAAAATGAAGTTATGCAAAGTGTCACCTAGCTGTGACTGCTACCTGCTCTTTGAGTTGCGGATTGGATCTGTCTTGGGAAGTGCTACCCCATCCAAAACTGTTGTAAGTCCCAGATCTTGAAGCTCCATGCATCCAAAGCCATGCAGTCTTGCCAGGGTTTAGATGAAGCCTATTGCCCCACATCCAGGTCCCCACCGCCTCCAGTTTCCCACAGCCTCCAGGCACCCTGAGAATGCAGCCATAGCATCTCTTGGATCACCAGGGTGAAGATATAGAGCTGAGTATTGTCAGCATACTGATGATACCTCAACCCATAGTGACAGATGATCTCACTCAAGTATCTTCATGTAGATTTAAAGAGGAGTGCAGAGAATATTGAGCCCTGTGGCACACCACAAAATAGGAGCCAAGGGCTAGCTCTCTTGCTCCTTTTAACACCAATTGGGACTGGCCTTTGAGAAAGAAGCTGGACCAGCATAAGACTCTGCTGGTACAGGTGAAGATGATGGAGTAAGGTAAAAACAGAGCAAAAGAATTTGGAAAAAACAAGTTGCCTAACTCTGGTAGAGAGGAAAACCAAAAAGTAACACTGTACAAATGACACAAACATAACATACTGGAGATTGGTAGCTTGGATTTGTGACTTCAGCAACCGTCTCCCAGAATGGCAATACTGTATAAAAACCTTAACCTCTTTTCACATATAGCAGCTCAACAGATATTTGACTGTATGTGAGCTCTGAAGCTGAGCATTGGGATTGGAAGCAAACAATGTAAAGCTGTAGACTATGTGCAAAGTTATAAAAAATATTCTGGAACAAAGCAGTGTAAAACAACTTTCATTCTGTTGCCAAGAAAACTATTCGGACATGACCACAAATAGCTTGATGTAGAAGTTAAATTAGGTTCTTAGTCCATCCTCAGTGCACTGAGTATTTAGGTCTACTTTTGGTGCAACCTACCTCAAAGAGATGTGTCAGGGAAAAAGTTGGAGAAGAAGCTATACATTGCTAGCTTGAGCTCCCAAAGGGAAGGCAGGGTATAAATTGAACAAATAAAAGTATAAAATAGTCTCCAGGTTTAGAGTTTGACTCAAAGGAGATTTTATCTCCAGCATCTTATTTTAATGACTTAGATTCTTAGTGCTCTTTCTGAGGTAAAAATGATTTAATTGCACAATTTACATCTAATGTCATTGTCAAATTTCATGTTTTATATTTAAGACGAAGCATCAAATTAAATTGCAATAACTCTGTAGTTGCAAACTAGGAGGGGGTTATGCAAAATAGCTATACATAGTGTGTAGATACTACTTGAAGGTATTAGATTTATTTTCCAAGATAATCAGTACAACTTCAACTTTTATCTATATAAGAAATTAAGTTTGTCTTGGCTCTTAGTTACTATATAGGTGGATCTTTCTCCTTAATACTTTCCTTATGATTCAGATCTTCCAGCAGCCCACCCATTGCTGCTATGATCAAAACCATCCACTTTGCATCTAGGCATTCTTTTCTTTTACCTTTCACCTTTGCTAGCATTATAGACTTCTCAAGAAAGATAGAACTTCTCATAATGTGACAAATACAATGATCTAAGCCTGTTCATTTGTGCCTTTAATTGATTTGTTTGATAATTGATTTTTTTTCTTTTCTGGGCTGTCCATGATAATCTCTGGCATCTTCTTCAACACCAAAATTCAAAAGCATTAATAGTGTTCTGACCCAACCGGATTCCCAGAGAACAAACACAGACAAAGGCAGCAGCCCCCACCTTTTAAGATTTAATCACAATTCTGTTCCTTTATAGATAAAAGGCTGCTTTCCAACAATTAGCTCCGACAAGAAAGAGCCTTGCCAAGTTGTTTGTCAAGGCTGCCCAAAACCCAGAGATAAGAACTAATTTACAGAATTCTCCAAACACAACTAAGATGTCCACCAGTTGAGTTTCAGAGCTTCTTTGCTTTCTGCTTTTATCCTCTTGAGGGAGGGCCCATTACCTTGCAGCCTTACTCCCAAGTCACCTGTGCTGCTGTAATTGTTCTTTCCTCCGAGTAATCCTTCGTGCACATGCACTTGGCACAGGCTCCTCTGGAACCTCCTCATCATTGCTGCCAGCCCCCACAATCTCTGAAGGCAGCATCCACTCCCTGATGGTCCTGGCCCCTCATCTCCTCAGCCGTCCGCACCTGCTGCTGGCTAACCACAACAAATAGTCTTTTTTTTTCCTGTTTCTTCAAAGTTCAACGTTCACTTCAAAGATCAGCAGTTCATTTCATGCCATTGTCATACCCATGTGTTTTGGATTAGTGTAACATGATCTTTGGATCCAGAGCCACACTATTCTATTGCATTAAATTAGACATTGCATTGAATTTAGGCATCACCAGCCTGTTCTCAAATTATCTACTACTTTATAATAATACAAGTGTAATACTGGCTATTCCTATTAATGTATTTTTCATGAATTTATTACACTACTCTTCACAGTAATTAGAACCAGAACTTCCATTGGTAAGGGATGCAGTTGTAAAGCATGATATATCAGATGGGCATCAAACTTGCAATGTCACGTTGCCATCACGTGATGTTTCATGACATTTTTTCCCTTCGCGAGCTGGGGTGGGTGTGGACTGCGTGTGATGCATCCGGCTCGCAGGCCACCAGTTTGACAGCCTTGACATAACGTGTTCATGCAGCTTAGCAATGGAAATTCTGGTACTTAACAATTGCTGTCTTTAAGTAAATCCTACAACATTGTTA